TATTGGTTATTTTGAGTTAGTCATACCATTGGAAAAGAAATGTTTGCTGTTCTAAGGCTGGTAGCAGTGTTAATATTGAAGATGCATGATCTGTGACTCAAAAGTTAATAGTCAAATTAAACAAGGCAAGTCATTCCCCTAAGCCAATTTCCACATTATCAAAGAGAAATTAAGAAAAACTAGTCCTTCAAAGGGTTTAGGCAATTAGCAAGTTGGAAATATAGACTACACCTTAATATGTTTAGGAGATACACAGCATACTAGTTTCAAAAAAAATTATATGTAATCATGATTTAAAATTAAGTGACAGTATGTCAGTTAGAATACAAGTTCCCTAACAGCCAAATAACCAAATCTTTGAGTTTGCTAAACGTTTACAATGTACTTTCATAATTTGTGAGGAAAAACTACTACTTATATATAGAAGATCTGCAGAAAACTGTTAGTTTTATTAGGCAAAGGTATTTAGAGAAAAAAATGTAGGTGATGTGAAAACAACTTTTGTGAAAGCCTTGAACCTGTTACTTCACCTTGAAACATCTTCCACTGTTAGCTACACACCAGTCAGCACAATGAGTTGAAAATTAAAACTAACTTTAACTCCAGTCACAGCTTTATAAATCACCATGGAAATTTAACCTGTAAAATGTAATAACCAAACCATAACAACTCATTTTTCCTTCTCTTACTCACTTTCAAAGTGTCAAGAAAGTTCCCCAACAAAGACCAAGCTCAACGGTTGGCAGTGGAGGGCTTAGGACTCTCAGGCACCGCAATGCAGGGAGAGATCGAAGATGTTCCTGGGCAAAGTGATGACCTCCTTCCGGAACCTCAGGTCTTGCCTGACCTTCTAGAGGGCCAGTTCCAAGTAGGCAGATGCATTTTCAATTGAATTGTGACCTCAAATAATACAGAAAATAAAATAACATTATTTCACTGATAGCAGGAGCATAAGGGATTGGGGGGGGGGAAGAAGCAACTGTAATAAAGTAAAAAACAAATCAACAAACAACTATAAACAAGAGACATTCTACGGGGGAGGAGATGGGGACAGGGTCAAAACTGGGGCAGGAAGAGAACATGGGACTATGTGATGGCACGGGGGTGAACTGGTGGCGGGAAGTCCATAAGGATTACAAATGAGATGCAAAAATGTACAAAATTAAGAATGAGATTTAAAAATACATTACGGCCCTCCCTGGTGGCGCAGCGGGTTGGAGCACAGCACTGAGAAGCTAAAGCCACTTCCACATGAGTTCGATTCCCGCCTGCCCCGGAGGAGACCACATGGCGTGGCAGACCTCTCCTGCCCCGCCCGCTGCTCCCCTCAGCAGTGTGCTTCGTTGATCTGCCTGTTCTGCTTCCCACTTTGTCCCTGGTGAATCCTCTCACCCTCCAGTCTCTGGCCTGTACCCCAGTTCTGTATGAACAAGTAAATAAAAATCTTTAAAAAAATTAAAATAAAAATACATTACAAAGAAAAAATTACAATACAGGTAAGGCAATCATACAGATAACATCTGTTTTACAGATGTTGGCAAAAAAAGCCCCCTGTTTCTGTTTAAAATAAGATTAACAGCAGGCACTTATCAAATATAATTACTTAATCCCTAAAATGACCTCTCATGTGTGCTTATAATTGCTTTATATGAACCTAGGAGAACAGACATCTCCCTTTTTGTGTGTCGTGGGCCTCAGCTACATGTCACTGATTTGCTGTGACTCAGGGCACATAGGTCTCCACATCCCTATGTCCAGGGAGATGTTACAATAAAGTGGCAGGAATCCCTGAAGGACAGGTCTGGCAGGAAACCAGAAATACAGAATGCTGGAAAAAGCATTCTCCAAACTAAAGAATGTCATTAAATAGAAGATTACATGGTTATAAAAAGTAAATGAAGTTTACCCCAAAGTAAAGCTTTCAGATCCAGTGAGAATATCTGAATTTCAATGGAAAACAAAATCATACAATCAATACTTCCAAAATGGTGTCTTTTTGTGTGCCTTATTCTGAGAGAACGATGATAGATAATCTTAGGATACTTTTGGTTAGTGAGTAATCTTTTATGTCCACGGTTCAAGATTGTTTTTAATAGGGCGCATTAAGAATTTGGGAATAGAATTTTATGGAATTGAGATATGAATTTTCTAGATGACATAAAGAGCCTCTGCAAGACAGTATTAGTGGTTAACAGACACTGGATGACAGGGTAAAGATCACAGGATAAAATCTGTATTTTATGATCAGACAAGCCAGAGGAGCACCTCTTAAGACATACAGAACTGTGACAGAATTTTAACATACATTTAACTCTCTACTGCTTAACGGTATGGAATACTTAACAGTATGGAATACTTAACAGTATGGAATATTTAACAGTATGGAGTAACCTCCATGTAAAGACAGCCTGAAAACTGCATACAGAAATACTACTAGCAGGGTAGTTTCATGTTGGTTGTATTTCATCAGAAAATAAAGAAAAAAGTCTTGAGAGAAAGATCGAGTGTATGCATACCAAATCTATCCAGTTTGAGCTGCACACACACACCTTTTACTGAGTGAGAGGTGTATTCAGTCAATTCTAGAATGTTACTTGGCTTATTGAAAAGCACATAGGAAAAAAGCCACAGCACATTTTAGAAGGAGTTTCAATGTTCACACCTACAAAAATTTTATGCATTAGTTCAAAGAGTAGGCAACTTCCCAACAATTTTCTGGTCACCAGTATCAGTACAGTTGCTGTTTGGGACAGTGGACTTTGGGGG